GAGTCGCCATGATTCTCCCGCGCCAGACAGACACAGGTTAAGATCCTCCCTGGTAAGCCAGCTCGTGGGCTACATAGAATATTAGAAATGGGTTAGAACAATATGTAAGAGCTAGCCAATAAGAGGCTCCAGATAATGGGCCAGGCAGTGTTTGAAAGGATACAGTTTCCGTGTAATTATTTCTGGGCATAAGCTAGCCATGCAGGCGGCCGGGTGCCGGGGACGCAGCCCCGCCGCTCCTAATTCAACAGGGGTCTCTTGAGCCAAGGCAACATAAGACAGCACTGTCAAACGGACCTGATGAAAAAGAGCTGCTTATCTCATGATGGCTGAGGAGGATGGGGCAGGGGGGGGGGAGCAGAGGGAAAAAGAGGAAGAGCATCTGGGGTCACAATGACCTATGCCCTAAAGGTTCTACTGCCTTCTGAGAGGACCGTGGGCTGGAGCCTTTGCACATTGGCCTTTGTGGGACACTTAAGACCCAAATTATGGTAGATAAGCCCAAAACAAGTGAGTAGCATACTATCAGTCAAAAGGAAAACAGGAAGGGTGTGGCGCTGAGAGGAGGCGAGAGAAAATGCAGCTAATTTCTATGGTAGCCTGCCACTGGCGCACATGAAATCCAGGTATGATAGAACATCAGACAAACCCAAATTAGGAGACACTTTACCAAATAAATGATCTATATTTTTTTAAAATGTTGTTAATGCCAAAGAAATACTGAAGTTTTATTATAGGCTGAAGAGACATATAACTGAAGATAACACACAATTTCACAGTGAGTTTACTCTGCTACCAAGAACTCACTGGGTGACTTGGTGAAATTTAAATGGATCTTAGAACTGGACAGTAATAATGTATCAATTTTAATTTCCTCAACGGCATATGTAATTACTGGGAGGGGTCTTCACTTGCAAGAGTACATATCAAAGCATACAGAGTTTGTGTCTATCAAGGCAAATACTTATTTTCAAATGGCTAAAGAATAGATATGATTATATTGTCTATATTGTGTTGTAAACTTGATATAGCTTTGACTTAAAAGAAATAAATGTAAAAAAATATATATAAATGCACCAGGAGAACCGAGAAGATCACAAATTTTTAAAACAGAAACTCATGACAGGTTTTATGGCACATGCCCGATCTTTCAGCATTTGGAAGGTTGAGACAGGAAGATAGTGAACAGACCAGTTTGTGACACATAACAAGACCCTGCCTAGAAAAACCAAGCAAACAAAAACACAGAAACATACTAACATGCTTTACAAATGTATGGAACATTTATATTCAATTGTATAATAAAACTTGTATGACTATCAGAACATGAGATGTGCTTAATAATTCTCTCAAATTTTGCTGTTTTCCTCCAATTAGGAATTACACCAATCTACTAGGGTACATGGCCTCTCTCTGATAATGAAGTCCAGATTCTTGGCCAAAATAGTCAAATCTGTGTTAGCAATGCTTCTCATGGGTGTTGCCTTGTAAGGCTCATTTCTCTCTGGGTGCTAAGTATCATGACTTGACATAATCATCAACAATTCATTAAGATAGGTACTATTATCACCTGCGTTGTGAGATTAAATTGAGAATGCCCTTCAGGGAGTGTCAGCAGGGCATCTAGAGACAGAGTCCATCATCTAGATCCTAGCCCATGCTTTTCTCACCACAGTACAGGACCTTGCTGGGTTCAAGGCATTATTCTACTCACGGTGGCAGAGACAAATACGAAAGAAGCGAGTTCTCAGTGAAGCAGCTGTTTCTGTCTTCCTAATGCTGTAGTCCTCCCTCTCACCATGACTTTCTCAATGCTGCACAAACCCAGGGTCAGCACTTCTAGTCTCTCACTGGAGAAAGGTTCCTGAACACTGACACTCTACAAATGTTGTCTTTGAACGCAAAAGCGAAAATGCTTTCTTAATGTCCTGTGCTCAATGAGTTTGTGGAGTCTATGATACATAATCCAATTGATCATCTTAAAATGGAAAGAACAAATTACATAGGAGGAGCTTAGTGCTAAATATAATCACTTAAAAATAATTTGATGTGAGATAAGAAAAGCCAAAGAGCACCCTGGGAAATATTAGAAGCTCCAGAATGGTGACCTTCTGACTCTTGTGTTTCACTGGAAACAGATCTCCTCGGGAGCTCTCAGAAATCACAGCCAGGTTCTGGACCAGAAGAAATAGGACTGAAGAAGAAATGAGGCTTTGAATTTTTATATCTGTAAAGATTCTAATATTCTTTCATCTAAGTGATCTGAAAACGCAGACGCTGGACACTAGCAGAGGGAGAAGAATGAGATGCCACTCCACTGACTCAGTAGCCCCCATCGTGAACATAAGAGAAAGGAGGGCAGGTTTAGCATTCCTTCTACAGAATTCTGGTTTGTCCATCAGAAACCCGGCTGTAAAAATCTTACTGGGATTTTGAGAAGTACACACGTACTGAGTAAACTTTCCCAAAAAGCAATAGTCTAAAATGAAAGACATGACCTAAGAACCATATAATTATGTTCAAAGTTCTATGGGGGAAAGGGTATCCCCAACACAAGACAAAAAAAAACCCTATGGAATGTATACAGAACATGGAAATAAGAACAACTTGATCATTCAAATTAACATTAGCTATTCAAATTACCCTAATTCAGGAGCAATATTAATGCAGAAAGTTACAGGAAAACACAGCAGTGTATGCTTCTTGCTGTTAGTACTAGGTCAGAGAGGCCAGTGGCTTTGGTTTACCTCCAATGGTCTCACACAGAAACACCAACTGACTGCGTCTATTCCTGGAACTGCTCTAACCTCCCTTGTATTTCATCCTCTTGCACAGTGTACTGCACTGGGAACAGGGGTAATATGTGAAACAAGCTCAAAGATCCCGCAGTGGAAGGCACTGTTTTCCTGCATCCTACCTACTGTAACTGAAAACTGGGAATTTACTGGAATTGAGGATTTATTATGAGTCAGACAGCTGATAGCCTTTCCAACTAAAACATCTGCTGCACAAAGGCACAACTGCTACAGTCCATTTCCTCTAGGACCTGGAGAGGGACCAAGTTACTTGGCCCTTTTCTTAAAGACACAGGAGCTTGGAATGAGAAAAGGGATAAAGGGGATCTTGACATAACCTTCCAGCTTCTAGTATGTTCTGAAATGCTATTCAAAACCTAAGAAAATAAGAGAAAGAATGGCCATATAGGAAAGCAAGCAGCTCAGTGGAGTACTTAACAGCTTATGGGTCCTACACATTTGTGTCAGGGCAGCAGAAGCATTCCTTCTTTGGTATGTGAGGAGAGGAGGGGCACCATCAACACAACTGGGAAGACTGCAGTGCGCCCAGTCTTCCAGTGACTGCTTACTGGTGCTTCCATGGTCAGGAGAGAGAATAGGGCAGACAAGTTCTGCCTCTGAGAGTTTGTTTTTCTACCAAGACTCACAATCCATAAGCAAGCAAGCAAGCAAGCTACTTCCTGATTAATCCAGATACTACAGGTCACTGCCTTGTTTCTGCTAATCTATTTGCAACAATGGGTACCAAGATATTCTTCCCCAGCAATTAAAAAATAATGAGATTTTTCATGGATTTTAAGACTATACCTTAACTTAGAAGTTCACATCTGGTCCTGGTTAAAAAAAAAATAAGAATAAAGAAAAAAACTAAACTGAATGCAATGAGAAAGAAGGCAGAGTCAGGCAGATAAGATGTAAGATAACAAATCACGAGTCTCACGGTAAATTATAAAATAATAAAAATGGGTTAATTTAAGATGCAGCTAAAAATATGCTTGATCCTTTGGCCAAACAATAATGTAACTAATACAGTTTCTGTGTGGTTATTTGGGTCTGGACAGCCAAAAAACAAAAGTGCAGTCTCTGTTTACATGGAAGGAAGGGGAAAGGGGGAGGGAGGGCATCCACGAATCCTTCCTCTGGGAGTAAGGAAATTCTGGACAATGAACTACTCAGACAGATTGGGATCTATTGCTTTAGAACACTTAAGATTGCATATTTAAAACCTTAGCCATCAGTAATAAGTATTGAGCTTCATATCAATGTTTTTTATATATAATTTATATCTGTGGAACATAATATTAACACATTATAAACAGTTTAAAATGTGCACAGATAATAGAACGTCTACGATGGTGACATTAGACTAAACACAAATAATTATTTCCCCCTAAAATTGTGTAGGTTGCCTGTACAGACTGTGGTGTACTATCTGGGCCAGGCCAGACAATCTGCAGGTTCGACATCGCCCGGGCAGTTGGACAGACACTGGCAGGTATGCTGGTTCTCTATCAGCCTCAATGGGCTCCATAACTTACCATATTACTCCTAGCACAGGTGCAGAGAACTATGCAGCAAGCATTAGAATTCTAATTGTCTCAGTGACAAAGGACGTGCTTCATTCTGCCAGTTCTTGTCAACATGAGTATGGTAAACCTGACCTGAAATACAGATGAGCCCTGTCATAGGTCCAGAGGTCATAGCCCTGCTGTGCCATCTGCTTGACTCAGGTGTGAATGTGTCTATGCATGTTAGAAGCTAGGCAATGTGTTACAGTAGAAAGATCTCAGACTTTGGGGTCAGACTGGGGAGAATCATGGCTCTACTGTTTCTCGGCTATGTAACCTTCTATGGCTACCAACATTATTACTGTTACCCAAGCTCCTACTAGACTATCTGACTCACCTGTTCCCTGAAGGGCACACTAAACAAACGATGCCTGGCTGTGTATGTGAGCTCTGTTGGGCAAACCTAGCCTGTCTGCACAGAACCTGTTCCTTGTCTCGTCCTTCTTGCCCAGGACGAGAAACAGCAGCTCAGTCGCTACCTTCTGGAGACCTACTCTCTCCTGGCCAGATCGGTACATGTTTCCTTGGACTGAGTTCCACAGCATTCCTCGTGGGCCATGAATCAACACTGAACTAAAGTTAGAAGGGGATAGAGAGAGGGCTCAGTTAAGAGCACTTGCTAGTCTTCCAGAGGATATGAGTTCAGTTCTCAGCAACCACATGGTGGCTCACATTGGACTGTAACTCGAGTTCCAGGGTATGACATCTTCTGGCCTCTGAGGACACTGGGCATACGTGTGATGTATATACATATATGTATGCAAAACCCTCACACACATAAAATAAAAATAACAAATCTTTTAAAAATAAAACTTTAAAAAGGCAAAGTAAGCAATTAAGAGAAGACAAGTGGCTGGGAAGTGGTGGCGCACGCCTTTAATTCCAGCACTTGGGAGGCAGAGACAGGTGGATCTCTGCAAGTTTGAGGCCAGCCTGATCTACAAAGTGAGTTCCAGGACAGCCAGGGCTGCTACACAGAGAAACCCTGTCTCAGAAAATAAAACAACAACAACAAAGAGCAGACAAGTAAGCAAAGTACATGCACCAATAAAAATATACTGACTTAACAATACTGTAAGTTAGAAAACAGTATTTTTGGACCGCGAGGGGTGCACCCAACCACTGAGACAGTGGGGCTGATCTATTGGCCAGCTGGACTGTGACTGAAAATGCATGGGATAAAACCGGACTCTCTGATCATGGCGAACAATGAGGGCTGATGAGAAGCCAAGGACAATGGCACAGGGTTGTGATCCTACTTCATGTTCTGGCTTTGTGAGAGTCTAGCCTGTTTGGATGTTCACCGTCCTAGACCTGGATGGAGGGGAGAGGACCCTGGACTTTCCACGGGGCAAGGAACCCTGACTGCTCTTCGGACTGGAGAGGGAGGGGGAGAGGAGTAGGGGTAGGGGAAGAGGAATGAGGTAGAGAGGGAGAGGGGGGGAGGGGGAGGGAGGTGAGGGGCTGGGAGGAGGCGGAAATTTTTTCTTTCTTTTAATAAAAAATAAAAAAAATATAAAAAATAAATAAATAGAAAGAAAGAAAAAAAGAAAACAGTATTTTAAAATAATTAGGTCATTATTAATCTATTTATGTACCAATAAGTTTAGTAATAAATGGAAATAAGATTAAAGAGTATAAAAGGTATTAGGACACCACAAACTTAACTGAATGGCATAATAATACAAGTATTAGCAATTAACTCTTTTAAAACTACCAGTAGACAAGGAGTTTGTTAAAGAATGCATGTCTTCAGATTGCCTGACAAAATTGGGAGCATGGGGGTGGAGGGGAGTAGGGAGGGCTGAAGGGGAAGACAAGTGGAGAAGGGGAGGAGCGAGGAGAACATGAGAGAATGAGACAGTTGAGATGGAGGAAGGACAGAGATGAGAGCAGGGAAAGAGATATTTTGATTGAAGGAGCCATTATGGTGCTAACAAGAAACCTGGCACTAGAGAAATTCCTAGGAATCTCTAAGGATAACTCCAGCTAAGACCCTAAGCAACAGAGAGAGTGTCTGAACTGGCCTTGCCCTGTAGTCAGACTAATGAATATCTTAAATATTACTATAGAATCTTCATCCACTAACTCATAGAAAAGAGGCAGAGACCTGCATCGGAGCACTGGACTGAGCTCCCAAAGTCCAGTTGAAGGGTGGGAGGAGTGAGAATATGAGCAAAACAGTCAATACCATGATGGGTTCACCCACTGAAACAGTCTACCTGAGCTAATGGGAGCTCATGAACTCCAGCAGGACAGGGAAGGAAACAACATAGGTCCAAACTAGTCCCTCTGAATGTGGGTGATAGATGTATGGCTGGGGCAGATTGCGGGGCCACGGGCAGTGGCACCAGGATTTATCCCTACTGCTTGTACTGGCTTTTTTTTTTTTGGAAACTATTCTCTTTGGAAGGATCTCTTGTTTAGCCAAGATATAGTAGGGAGGGCCTTAGACCTTCCCCAAAGCAATGTGCCTTACCATCTCTGAGGATTGGATGAGGGGTGGAGTGGGGATGGGTAGGTGTAAGGAATGGGAGGAGGGGAGGGAGTGAGAACTGGGATTGATATGTAAAATGAAAAAAGATAGCTTTTCTTTGAAAAAGAAAAAAACTTGTAACAAGAGGTTGATAATAAAAAAAAAACCTTTTACATAGTCAATCTTTAAAAAAGTATGTTTTCAGACTTTCCAAAAATAGTAAGAATGTTCTTTTTAAAATCTACTTCATCAGACAAATATAGTTTTTATTTTCCAGAAATAGATAAGATATGCCCAACTTCTATGACTAATAACAAAAACTTCAATAAGTACAATGAAAAACTATGATAAAATAATTTTCCACTGTGAGCAAAGTTTATTCTTGGTCTAAATGAATAGATATAAGGAAAATAATACAATTAATCACGTAAGAAAAAAGCTTAGGAATCACATCTTGATTTCAACAAATGTGCAGAGAAAACTAAAGAGTGTGTTAAGTCTGTCACTGAGTCCCATTCCATCAGTTTCCACTGCAGAATACTCAAAGTTCACTGGTGCAGCCAGCTTTTGTCTGGATAATGTTAAACTACTTACTATTCAGATTTTAATTCTACTGCATTCTTCCCCCTAACTGCTCCCTAGTTTGGAGTTTATGTATTACTTCTTCAGATACATGGATACATTCAAACAGGTCCAACACTGTTCACCTTTGATCCATTTCCTCTCTCAAAGAGAGTATCACGTGTTTATACCTTAATCCACTCATGTGCTGTTTGCACTTTCCACAGGGTAATCTAACGCCTTTATTTCTTGGTTCTTTGGAAAGCAAGGATAGTTACATGGTTGAGTGGGCAATTAATCATTAAAAAGTATAAACATAGAAAGATACTACATTTGATCTCAGCCAAAGGCCCAGAGCCGATTAAGCAGGAAGAAAAGGCAGGTTTTATATGGCAGAGTTCTATATCAGGAAGTTACAGTCATATGATTGTAGAAGTCAATAAAAATCAACTTGAAATAACTAGTGTTAGCAAACGATTTCAACAAATTGCAGGATAAAAGCCTAGCTCCCCATTTTTTAATGTTGGAACCATTATAAGCCTGCATACTATGGGCTACAAGTAGAAAACGTAGTAGACGAGAGACCATTTATAATACTGACAAAAATTCAGTAAGTGGATATTAATTTAAATCAGAAAATTAGACGCTTACTCAAAGATGACATAAAGTCTGACAGCAGAATTAAAGAAAGATGGATAAATGGAGAAATATAATTTGTTACATGCTGGGGAAGCTAAATATAGTAAAAATGACAACATTCCCTAAATCATTATGTAGATTTAATAAAATACTGATTTTACAGAAGTTGATATTGGTATTAAAACACATGTTGGACAAAGAGGCAAGACTACCAAAGAAAAAATACTGAACTTACCATAGTGGTTTCAAACGATCAAATTTTAAAATTGTTTATAGGAAAAAGACTATTCCTATAAAAAAATAGGGTATTAGATAAAATAGGAAAAAACAGAATTCAAATATGAATAGAAGTGTGGAGTATGACAAAGCAGAAGCAATCCCATTAGACATGAAGGCAGGACTAGGGAGCAAATGAAGAGGGAATGGAGGTAAGGAACTACGTTACCTCTTCAGCCCACGCCACATGTGAAGGATAAAGCACGGACACGCATGTAGAAGAAAGGGAATAGAACACTCTACCCAGCTGGAAGGGAGGTCAATTTATAAGTCCCACGAAGAAAAATGTATCATACGTATTTTCAAATGCCACTCTAAGTAAAACTTCTGGACCCTCAAACAGATCAAATATAATATTATCATCAAAGCAGACAAAGAGCGCAGAAGACACAGGCTGATTAGTGTTCTGTGATATAAAGCTACCACCCATGGTGTGTAACTGCAAAGAACTGGTCGTGAGAGATGGGCCTGGAGAGATAAGCACCCTGACAAGGCAAGGAAACAATTATTTTTGCTAGAGCTATTAGATTAGGAGGCGAAACAAACATGACAAAAAGCCAGCCAGACCTAGGATACAGGACACAAGCTTTGCTTCATGGTCCCACAATCTGGAAGCATCCAGTCCCAGATTTTGAAAATTGTTATGTTTTCTGGGTCTTGCCTGGTTATTTCTGGTCAAAAGATGTACTCTCTACATATTCCAGTAAATAAATCTGAGTTTTATTCTCCTGTCCCTGGGCTCTCTGCGGCCAGCCATCACAGTTACCCCACAATTACAGCCCCACCTGGCTCTTACCATGTTCTCTAGCCAATTACTGTAACCAGGAACTCTCTGGCTATCTTGAATCTCCTGCCAATCTCTAGTACTACGACCTTCCTGGAGTGACCATCCCACTCAGTATCCGCTTATTTTTCAAGGCAGGATTTCTTCTGACAAGCCCACAGAAAACAAGGGTATTTATCAAACACAGAAAT